CAGGCGGTCGATAGTCTCCTTCCACCGATCACATTCGGCCTTGATTTGATCGACTTCTTCCCGAAGCAACCCGATCTTTTCAACCTTTTGCTGCAGCTGAGATAACGAAGGGTTAGCCTCCACACTTGGGTCAAACCCATACTCTAACAGAACGAGGCTCACCTGCTTATCTAGTTCGGCCTCTTCTTCACAAGCCTTAGCCAAATCTGCTTGGAGGTCCCTTATAACCTCATCCTTTTGGCCGCAAAGAAGCCGTAGAGCATCTCTCTCCCCCGAGACCTTCTGAAGCTCGACCTCATACTGGCTGAGGTCGGCTCGAAACTTGCTAATGGCCTACACATAAGGGAAAAAACACAAGTCAGGTTTAGAAAAGAACGAAGAAACCAAGCGCAGTAAAATTATTACCCGAGAAATGAAATGTTGGGCCTCTTCTAGGAGAAGAGAAGCGTCACTAATATCGGAGGCATCACCGACTCTAATAAAGCAATCCCGAAAAGGATCCCCTACACTAGAGCCTCTGCCCCATATCGGGGGTCTTCAATTCTCGAGCTTCCTTTAACGCCTCCTCAGAAAAGGTCGGAAGAGAAGGCGAATGACCCACTATCATGGTCTCGAGCGAATCGCTCGGGACACTCTGATCGAAACTCGGAGTATCGGAACCGGCCCCGACCGGTGTAGACGTCATCGGCTGAGAAGGTCTGGCAACCTCGATAGCTTTCGCGGATCGGACCACCAAAGCCAAAGCATCTTCTTCTTCTTCTTCTTCTTCTTCTTCTTCTTCTTCTTCTTCTCTCAGTCATTGGACCGAGTCCATCGGAAGAGCGATTGCCTTCCTCCTCATCCTTTGAGTTTTGGGCTTGAGGTCCTCTGACCAAGAGACAGCTTTTCGCTTTTTATCTTTCCCCAGTTTCGGGACCGGGGACTTGGTTCCTTCCTCACTACTCGAAGGTCTCAAAACGGCATCCTTGGTTACGCCTGCATGAAAGGAAGTCAATAACGAATGGAGCATAAAAACGTTTCAAAAAACATGAGAAGTGACCCTTACCGTGGTTCTTGGCCTCCCACCTACCCTTCGCCAAATCACGCCAAGCGCGTTCGGCATAAGAGGAAGTCGAGGCTAACTTCCGAACCCAATCCTCGAGGTCGGGTACCGCTTGTGTCATCCAAGGGGCAGTTGTATATCGGAGGGAGATATGAGATAGAATCAGAGAAAGATACGAAAAGCAACGCCTTACGAATATCACTTACAGTCGAAATTCCATTCCTCGGGGAATGGCATCTTCTCTTCCGGGATAAGGTCACGGGTCCTCACCCGAATATAACGGCCCATCCAACCCCGATCCTTGTCTTCGTCGATGCTCGACATTAAAGCTTTCGTTGCCCGGCGATGGAGCCTGATTAGTCCTCGAAAGATTTGAGGCCGATACAATTATATGAGGTGATTTAGGGTAAAATCCAGCCCCCCGGCCTTGTTGGAGAAGAAGCGAAGTAAGGTTACTATGCGCCATAGAGAAGGATGAATTTGACCGAGGGTGACCTGATATCTTTTGCAAAAATCAATGATCACTGGGTCGATGGGACCCAACGTGAAGGGGTAAGTATAAACACTTAAAAACCCCTCCACATGAGTGATGACGCTCTCTTCGGGAGAGGGAATTTGCAACACAACCTCGGGACCCCAGTTGCAGTCTTTCCTCACAGCCTCGAGATGACCCTATGTTATCGAGCACATGTACATCGACACATGCTCACATCGACCCGGAATCGACGAAGGATTTTCAACCTTAAAATCGATCTTTAGAGTACACGGGCCAGGAACATACTCGTGGGGAGGCGGCTCCACCGGCGCCTTGCCGCCGGACGGCCGTGAAGAGGAAGCTTTCTCCTTCTGAGGTACGGTTTTTGAAGTTTTTGCCATTGATATATGAGAAAGAAAACAAAGGAAGATGAAAGGTTGATGGTGCCAAACGCTGATGAAGGTGGCTCTATAAGCAGCGAAATAGAGGCAGAAAGAGTAAGAAAATTTGGGAGATTGAAGATGTAAAAGTGGTAAATGATAAATGGAAGGGTTATTTATAGGTTTATACCGTGACAGTTCAGTATCAGCGGTGGCCGACCACCGTCTGACGTGCATTAAATACCTTGAAAGACTAAATCGACGGGACAATTATCACATACGTCATGATCGAGCCCAGTGAAAACGTCAGCTTATAATCCGATCGAGCCATTGAAAATCATATCGCTTCTCACCACATTCTTCCTGAGAAACGAGGGGACTATCTGTATACAGTCGAAATAGATTCCGGCCTTCGTACGTTTGATCGAGTTCGAATGGTAAGCGACCGAAGTGAGACTTCGAGACGAGTTCCGAAGATAGTACAAACAAACTTCGAGCTCCAAGACCGATCGAGGAATCGGCTCGGTATCATTATCGAGCCCATGACCAAATTGAACCGCAAAGCAACGTGACAGTTGTCGGAGATGCACAGACCAATTGACACTCACCCCGAATGTCGAACTCGAACCAATACCGAGCTCGAGCCAGTATCGAGCTCGCAGACAAGAGCCGTTGCAACCGCACTAGGGAAGAAAATCTTGGCAGGAATCGAGGAAGAGACAATTCATCATGGGTTCTCCACTATATATTTTTTATTATAAATAAAGTAAGATCCTTTTACTATAAAGGGGGAATCCTTGTAAGCACAGGACACACATTGGAAGAAAAGACTACTTCTCTTATTGAATAATAAATCTCTTTAGCTTGTTTTACTCAACACACTCACTCTTCTTGTTCAATAATTTATCTCCCATTTTATAGCCAAGAATCTAAACATTTCCACTTCTACGTACGATTTATGTCAAGGTATATCGCATATCCTTAGAACTACTTATAAATTTAACTATATCCGATTTTCCGGGTAAACAGTTACCCTAGATGGTAATGCGACCCCACCTATCCAGTGGTTGCATCAACTTATTCTCCACAATGATATCCCTAATCCCTTTAATCTTCCCAACTACATCCTCATATCTTTCTGCCTATGACATATTTGGTTAGCTAGAAATGCTAAAGTTTTTCGTTCCCATGCTACGCCTCTTTCAAAATCTCAAGTCTTAAACAAGGCGGCGTAATTTTACTATGTCGCCATTCTACAGCTTTCACATATACTCGAATTCCAATGCAAATAAAATGGCACCCTCCTAGCTTTAACACATTTAAGCTATATACACACGGTTCAGCTAGGTTAAATACAAGTCAGGGAGGGATTGGTGGTGTCATACGCGACTCATCCGACAGTTGGCTCAAAGGTTTTACTGGCCACCTTATCACTAATGGGAGTAATGAAAATGTGCTGCTTGCACTCTATCATGGATTGCAATTGGCTTTTACTCATGGCTACAAGCCACTCGAAGTGAATATAGATGCTCAGACAGTTATCACTATCTTACAGAGCTCACACCCCTTATTTAATAATATTCTTCACGACTGCAGGTTCCTAATCCGGCAGTTGGATGATCCCGTCATACTCCGTACGTAAGGGAGCAAATAAAGGCTGGAGATCTACTAGCAAAACTTGGTTGCAACATGGATAGCTCTGAAGGCATCACTTTTTTTGCACAACCTCCATCTTTTGTTCAGACGGCTTTGGAGGATGACCGGTTAGTAACACTTTTTGGCCGGCTGCACAGAACAAATGGCAAAGGTTTCAGGACTTTCCTGTTGCAGAAAATTGTGACAAACGCAAAATCAGTGCAAAATTTGAAAATGGCATTCTTCATGTCAAACAGCAAAAACTGATTACTTCAACAGTGAAAAAAAGGCCACAGAAGCTGAAAATACCCCTGCTAAAAGACAGAAGACCTCTTTAAGAGAAGAATTTACCCAGCAGGATAATGCTGATAATACCCTTGATAAAGAGCTAGCCAAAAATAAAAAAAAGAACAATGCACACTAGTCCTAAAGCCAGTGAGCAAACATAAGCTAAAAATCTTGCAGAAATATCGCCAGCAGATAAAAATAGTTCAAGTAGTTCTTACCGTGAATCTGAATATGAATCAACAGATGATTCGACCGATGATGAAACGACCGGAGATGCTAGCTGTTTGGCTGCAAAACTTACGAAGCCAAGGAAAGTGGTGAAAATGATTCTTGTTGCTCTGTTGGTTCTTGGTACTGGGCTTTACATCGCCAACATCATGAAATCACCATTTCATAGCTAGTTGAACTGAAATGCCACAGGATTTACTGGAAAATCAATGGATTCACATTCGTCCTGATTACAACAAGTACATTTTGAAGTGCAAAGAATACCAAACAATCACATCATCAGTAGGTATTCTGCCCTCCAAAAGTCTTAACACAAAAAAACTGATAGACCTTTGGTCTTTCGAAGGGTTGAACATTGAACTCCTAGCCTGGGTAGAGCTCCCTTCCCTGTCCAGTAAGGACACCTCCCCTTTACGGATTTTCCAGTGAATGTTTTTCTCTATATCTTCTTTTATCTCCATGAGCCTTTTCCATGTATGCAGTCCAGATCTCCATTTATAGGAGACTGGATGGCCCCTCTCTGTAACACAAATACATATTTAATTTCTGTTAAGTTCTAGGATCAAACTGAGGGTAGATAAACAATTTTCATAGAATATACAAGAAGCACTTTGATTGAAGGAGCCAAAGTAGCAATCTCAGACAATTGCCAGAATTCAGAAATCTACATATTATTTCTTGAAGAAAAAAATTCTCTTTAACTCTTGCATATAGCAATTTCAAACAGGACTTTTCGATGCTAATTCAAGCTCACTTGGTGCTGGACAACTGCGTGCGGAGGAGCTTAGCAGCAACTACCATGTTGCTGAGAGCAGGATTAACTTCAGAGGATGTTGGTATGAAGGACTGCAAGCATTTTTTTGATTCTGTCAGCAATTTCTTCTGTTGATGGAATCCTTGGCGAATACTCCAGGACCAATGCCAGCACCATACTTCACTCCTGGAACACAGACAAAATTCCTCATCTGACCTGGAGTTCTAGATGGTGATCATGTCAGCATCCATGTCGATAATTGAATGGATGATGATGTCATTGAAGTCTGAATAGTGTGGGTGTAAATCTGTCACAAACAAGGGCCAAGATGATTAGATCCTTGTAAAAGAAAAAATAATAATTTGGTTCAAAATATTTGTCACTTTAGAAAACAAGAAGGCAGTAATTATTTTTTCCATTTCCACCCTTACTACTTCAAGAAGGCAAATAGTCATTACTGACCCAATTTAAAGAAAAGATAAGGGTAATTAAATCGAAAGTCCCTTATGGTTAGTGCTACTAAATGAAAATTTTAATTAGTGTACCAAAACCTTAAACGGCAAATAAAAAACAACCAGAAAGAGTACCAAGAAAATTTCATAATAACACAAAACACATCCCTTACGAGACAAATTTACTAAACAAGATAATGCTGGTAATACCCCTGCTAAAGAGCCAGCAAAAGAAGAACAAATGAACACTAGTCCTAAAACCAGAGAGCAAACAGAAGCTAAAATCTGAAGATGAATAAACAGATGATTCGATGGATGATGAAACAACCGGATACGATAGCTGTTTGGCTGCAAACCTGAAGAAGCCAAGGAAAGTGATGAAAATGACTTTTGCTGCTCTTTCAGTTCTTAGTCTCGGGTTCTATGTCGCCAACGTGATGAAGTCTGCGAACGAAGCTGAAGAATGAGACTAGTCTTTCTGTAACTCAAATTTAGTTGGGACATTTGCATTTCCTCCCAGCTATGATTGTGAATAGAATAACTAACAAAGTATCCCTTTTTTTTTTTTGAGAAGGTAACATATTTGTATATTACTATAGACTTCACTAGAACTGTGAAGTCACCCATAATTATAAAGGGGAGTGCATAAAAACCAAACACTTCTAATCCTTGGTCTTCTCACAAGGATTCTAGAACATCACAAATGGATTCATGATCCTCCAAAAACTTTCCTTCACACCAAAAATAGAAAAGAACTAGACATTCCATCTTCATCTTCTGGATGTCACTGAACTTGTCTTCAAGTTCAAAGCATCTCTGATTCCTCTCTTCACAAATTGTCTACTATATGCAGGCTGGGACATTTCTCCATTTCTCTTTATGTCTAGAAATATTACCTTCTTTATTCCAGCAAGCTAGAACTTCAAGTATTCTTCCTAGCATAGCCCATAAAATTCCTCTTAAGTTGATGAAAATCCTCCATAATTGTACGGTCAACTTGCAAGTCAAAAAGAGATGTCTTATTGTCTCTGCCTCCTCTCTACATAAGTTAACATCTAGAGCATAAGTGTTCTCCTCTCTTGATTAAATTATCTTGTGTCTGAACTGCCTCTTTTGCTAATAACCATGTAAAGCAAGCAACTTTGTAGGGAATTTTGACTTTCCATTTCAGCTTCCATGACCAACATCCAACCTGATTATTATGTAATCGTTCAACTTGTTATGAATCGAAAAAACATCATTTGAATAAATCACAAGTGCTAGTGAGGTCAGTGAAAAGCTAGAGCATCATCTTGCATTTGCCAAAAGAAGGGAAGGAGGGAGAGGAGAGACAAGACGTAGATTAGTAAGAACATAAAAGCAATCTCAAGGTTGAGCAGCTACATAACAGATTATCTACTGATGATCATTGTCTATTGGATTGCTAATCCAAAGCTATATGCAAGCACAATATGAAATAATCTGTCTCCAGTACAAATGTAGAAAGAATAACCTGAAAATTGTCTTATATGGTACAGCTAGCGTATCTCCACATGAGAGAGAGAGAGAGTATGAGTAAAATTAGACAAACAGTAGGAATAGGACGAATGTCCATTACCAAACTCATGCTTTGTTCACCTAAACCTGAAGAAGATAGCAACCGCAAATAAACAGAACAAAAGGAATAACTAGGGCCATAAACAAAGAATTAAAACCTTTAATATCATATTAATAGCCACTTAACTTCCACAACAACACTTTTATGTTTCAGAAAATATTATAGAAAGGTTCCTTAAAGAGATTGTAACTATAGCCATCCTTGTTTCAGTTTAGCCTCTATGTTCAGGAGGACGATAATGTAAGTAACAAGACTCCACTGTAATATATAATCAGGCGCTACACTTCTCATTGGGGAATTCCAAGCTCACAGTAACCCACTTATCTTCACCAATAGAAAGCACAACAGAATCCTTGGGCAAGAACTAACCTGGAATGGATTTGTACACTCTGACCCTGTTACAAACGAGGTAATTTTGATTTCTACAGTCTTCCTCGCGCTAGAATTTGCATTCTAGACAGTAGAGGAATGGATTGGTGCCATTGCAGCTGATGATAGAGTTTCTTTAGGCAACTGGAACATTGATACCACGCACACCCCGCAAAATTGAAGATGCATTAAACTTTTCAGCACCTATGGACTGGAGAGGTATGTTTAGAGTGAAGACTGAATGAGTACATGATGCAGAAAACTTTGAACACCTTTTACCTTCCCTTTCTTCATCCTCCACCTCACAACTCAGAACTGAAGTTGAATTTGGACATCCAACTATGGAGTTCCCTTGCTATTTGGTAATGAAAAGCAAACTTTCACAAGGAGAGCTTTTCAGAGCTAGTTGAGTCACCTGGCTGACGAGTCTTTCCGTGAAATTATTAGAAGTTAGTTGTCCTAGCAGTGTAAAGTAAAAAAAGCATTAGTGGAATTTACTTTCATATAGGCACAAACCAAAAAATTACTTTTGCTTTCTTCAGGCTGGGGAACATCTTTCACAGTGAATCCATGCAAGTTTCGGCTGGGGAACATCTTCCAAGTCCGAGGACACAGTATGGAAACATTTGCCTGAAATTGGGAAAGATGTCAATTTGCTCTACAAAAGTATATTTTTCGATAGTCTTCCAACTGCATTAACATGTCATCACTAAGTGAATCTCAGGGAAAACATCTATTAGCCTGAACTAAGTGTCCTTAACATCTATTTGGATCAATATGAAACCCTATTGTTCTCACTAAAGGGAGAGCTAATTACCAAATCCAAGTCCTAAGTGCTTATTCAACTTGACAGATAAAGTAGCAAAGGTTACTATAAAAGGGAAATGGGATCAGGAAGCAGAATATCTGCATCTGAGGCCTCTAACTATCAAGCAGCAATTAAGATATGAACTTATTTAAGTAGTTATCGTTCGGTAATACCATAATGAAAACGCAATTTAAAAAAGAACTCGGGCAGTCCCAGTTAATCAACTAAAATATGATAAGAACTTACCCTGTTAAGTTCATATTAATACCACTAAACTTCCAAAAAGCACTTCAATGTTTCAGAAAATAAATTTTAAAAATACTTTAAATAGATGGTAGCTATAATAGTCCTTGATTCAGTCTAGCCTCTGTGTTTCAGAGGACGATAAACGTAAGTAACATGTTTCTACTGTAATACATAATTAGCTACACTTCTCATTGGGGAATTCCAAGCTCACAGCAACCCACTTATCTTCACAAATAGGAAGCACAATAGTACCAGTGGGGAAGACCTCATCTGGAATGGATTTGTACACTCTGACCCTGTCAGAAAGGAGGTAACTTTTGGTTTCTGTAGTCTTCCTCGCACTAGAATTTGCATTAGACAAAAGAAACCAAGAGATTATTTCCTGGAGAAAGTATTGTCCCTAATTCTTGCATATAAGGGTAAAGCTGCTATGGCAATTTTAAACATACCTTTTTGTTGGATCAACTATGGTAATTCAAGCTCACTTGATGCTGGCCAACTGTGCGCAGTGGTGATTAGGAGCTGGTACCATGTTATCATGTAAGCTCTGGTGTTACATTTATGGTTATGTTACCAAGACCTACGAAACTATCAAAAATATTGTTTCTACAGCTATTACTAAGTTACAGAAAGTTGCTATTGATTATTGAAAAGATAGAAAACTATTACCTGAATCACTAAATACCACGGAAAATGATTTTCCTAGACTTAACATGTGCACATAAGGAAACTTTCATTTCTCATATTAAGACTGCAATAAATTATGATTTCTAAGATAGTGTAGAATTGAAAAACAATCAAAATAGATGTACCTCCTCAATAAGCTTGCTTGGACAGCTCAAGCAATGTTCTAACTGCCATTCTTTTAGCTTCCGCAATTCCATTAGATGTGATTTCTTTCGCAGAGGTGAAAGGAAGTTGCATCACAGTAATAAGTCTAGCTGAATAAACCAAGTGAATAAAAATTCACTCCTTACTTCCCGAGTGAAACTGTGGTATCATGTTTAGCAAAGAAGGATTCTCTGCTATAAGGTGTATCAGTAACTTTGCTGTAGCTGCATCACATGAGAAGCCCCTTTCATTCATTTCCTTCAAAAAAGTTGTAATTTCACAAATTTTGCTAAACTTGAGAAATCCTCGCAGAATAACATTGTAGGTGCCATTGTTTGGCGAACAACCAGTCTCCTCCATTTTTCTTAGCATATTTTTAGCTTCATCTAACAATCCTTCTAGACAAAATCCATTTATAATTGTATTGTATGTTATCACATCGGGAAACAATCCAATTAAAGAAAGCTTCTCAAAAATAGCATGAGCTTTGTCGAGCTGACCATTTTTGCACAATCCGTGAATTACAGCATTGTAAAATTCAATATCAGTATCTTCTCTCTGTATTTCCAACTTATGAAATAGTGACATAGCTTTCTCGACAAGTCCATTCTGAAAATAACCACAGAGCAAAATGAGATTAGTGCATAAATTAGGTTTGAGCCCTGTAGATTGCATCTCAACAAAGAATTTTTGCGCAAAGTCAGTTCTTCCAACATCAAATAGGCCTTTCAAAATAATACTGTAGGTGAAAATGTCAGGTCTCAATCCATTTCGAGAAATTTCATGAAACAAATCCATGGCCTCATCCAATTTATTGTTCTTACAATATCCATTTATTAATGTGCTATAGCTAACAATGTCAGGCTTAATGCTCTTATCTATCATGGAATCGAAAAGTCTCCTTGCTTTATCCATTTGACCGCGCAAGCAATATCCATCAATTATCACATTGTAGGTGACCACATTAGGCTCTACACCTTTTCCAATCATGTGTCTCATTACCTCCTCAGCATCTCCAACTTTGCCTTCTTTGCATAGTCCATCGGTTACTATAGCCAAGGTGCGCACATTTGGATAAATATTAAGATTTACCATTTCAAAGAACAAAGTCCTTACCTTGTCCCACTGACCAAACTTACAGAGACCATCAATCAATGAATTATATGTGACAATGTCCGGAGGAATGCTTATTTGTTTCATCTCTTCAAAAAGGCTAAATGCAGCATCCAACATTCTATCTTTGCATAGGGCATCTATTACAATGTTATAGATGTATGCATTGGGCTTAGTGCTTCCTTGTTCCATTACTCGTAGCAAACCAAAAGCTTTTTGAGTATGGCCCCTTTTGCTAAGCCCATTCATGACAGTCGAAAACATGAATACGTTAGGCTCACAAATATTCTCTCTCACCAACTTTTTGAACAAGTTAACTGCGTCTTTGATCTTATTTTCAGCAAAGAGTCCCCTTAATAAGGTGTTAAAAGTGACAACATCAAATGGAGTACCACTCTTCAAGTAAATGGCTAACATAGAAAATCCGCAGTCAGAACGATGCATTAGGCAATAACTGTTGATCGCTATATTCAAGATGAAATTATTAATTGGGATGTTCAATTTCAGCATTTCTCGAACAAGAGAAAGAACAGTAGAGCAATGCTTCATATTTACCATAGTCTTTAATAATTTCGCGAAGCAAGAAACAGAAGGAAGAGGCTGCGTTCTTACCATTCGATGGAAGAGAGTCAGAGCATCATCTGAACACTTGACGTTCTCAAAACTGAATGTATTGCTATGATATGAAGAATAAAATCTGATTGCAATTGCCGAAGAAGAACGTGAAATAGCAGAAAATGAGATAGAGGGAATAATACCATTGGAAGAGTAACGAAGCAGAGAGATTCTCGTCATCTGATTGCAACTGCCGAAGAGAAAATTATTGTTTGCTATCTCTGTATGCCCTAATATTTTTCAGAAAACTTGTTCGTGATACTAATGAGTACTATTTGGATCATCTTTTTCGGGCTAAATTTATTAAAATAAAAAAATAAAAATTCTCGTCTGTAACTCTTTTATTTAGGCTGATTTTTTCTTATTTAGCTAAAAGTAATGGATTTTCGGCCAATTCGTTTGACAGATTTGCACCCCAAAAAATAAAAATACACAGGTTTAAAAAACTTATCATTTATCTAAACAAGAAATAAAAAGAATATATACAGTTGAAACTATATTATTTTGGCAGAATAGCACACTTTTACTTGTTCTGTTTCATATCTCGTTCTTTCTGCTTTATGAAGTTTCAACCAGACTCGTAAATTTGATCAAAACACATGTTTTAAACACTTCTGACATCGCGTGTTGCTCACTCGAGTTGACATGGAGGACATATCAGATCCACCTCAGCTAAATTAAACCACGTCATTATTTATTTTTATAAAACTAGTTTCTAGCCACATGCGTTGCACGTGTATTTCATGTCTATTAGTATAATTTTTATTTTTTTTAAAATGACATTAATATTATTGAAACATGTGCGCACGATATCAAACTAAGCTTGAAGGGAAAAATATAAATTCAAAATGATAAATGTTGACTCTATTCAGCCGGCTTGGCAGTTGAATGATCACTAGATTTTGTCTAAAAATATCAAGGTGAACAACCATATTTAGTTAAACTAGTCTTAGGGTACGCGCGTTGTGCGTGTACCCCATACTTTTTTAAAAAATCACATAACCAAATATTATTAAAATAAAATATATATTAGAAAAAAATTAAAAATAAAGAATCCAGAAAGTAGGAATCGGGAGTTTCTTGTCATTGAGTCCTAAAAATTATTTTTTCTTAACTCTTCAAGATTTTACCAATATAACTATATAAGAATATCCAATGTGAAATTTATTTTTAAAGAATAAAAATATCGATTAATATTTTATTTGAGTTTCTTGATTTTATAATCTACATTACCAAAATAATAAAGTCTATGCAAAAGACAATTGAAAATCTTGAACCCTAACGTGTCTGGCCTTGAACAAAATAACTCCATGTATGTAAAGTCACGAGGAAAAATTACCTATTGGCAGCATAACACACTTTGACATATTTTTTAATCTCTTGCTAATAACTGTCCACCGAAATGATCACCTTAATTGCTCCATAAAAAAAGAGGCCTTTAAACTCAAGGAACTTAACAATTTCATATATAAAAAAAAAAAGTCTAAAAGAGCGTATTGTGAAGTAATAATTATACCTTTCATTCATTGACTCTTGAAAAAAAGAATTAATACATAAGTAAATTCATATCTCAAATTCTAGGATGAATAATTTTTTAAAATTATACCTGACAAACATATGCATATCTGATACTTGACGCATCAATATAAACGCCACATACTGAGTAATACTCTTGTCGCCAAGATTTTTTCGGCTTAGCAAACGAAATTGAGAACTTGATCTTGCACTCTTTTTGATCCTTCTGTGTTATATATTGTGATTACATTATTTCATAAGCTTTTAAGATGTCAAGTTAATTCAATAGACAATGAAATTGAAATAAAATTATCTAACCAAAAATATAAACAATCATCTCTACCAGGTACCAAGAAATTAGTCGGTTCAACTTAAAACTTATGAATTTTGAAGCTAGAAGATAAAAATATAAGAGGAACAACAAAAGAGCCAATTTACCAGGACCTTTTCGCTGTAGCTTCTAACTTTACAGTTTTGATGAACAATTGACAAAATTTAACAAGACTTCTTTGATACTTGGTGTTAAATTTCTTATCTAATTCCAATTTATGTTTCTTGGACCTATTAGTATTAACATATATATGAAATCTTCAAAAAGTATCGTTAACACCTCCTTTTATTTTTTTCCAACTAATATGAAGCCATCAAAATATCTTCTCTTATAACCAAACCGGTACATAAAACAAACACTTGAAATCTTGACGTTGGGAACCCAACATCTACACCAATTAGGATTTTATATTCCAAAGTGCAGTAAATTGGTACCTCTATATATTAAGAATATTTTCGTCCTAATAATTATGGAATTCCTATTTAAACTCCTAATAAACTTTGAAAGCTTACGACAAATGCAATAAAACTTTAAATTCCTAAAGTCCTAAATTCGAGAAAAGGATGTAAAATCTTATTAAAATAAGGAAAGATCTTAAAATCACAATTTCAGTTGATTTTAAAGTCCTAAATATTAGAGAAATAATTAAATTACGATTTTGTCTAGCGTGTAATTTAATATTAAAGGGTAAAAAAAGCAAACGACATTTCGATAGGGCCTTCGTGCTTTTAATATAGTATAGATAGGTATAATATAATTACATTAACTTTTTTGTTACGAGGCGCAAACGTAATATGATCTTACCTCAATGTGTATCTGTTTCAATTATATCAAAATTTGTATATTAAAAAAATTAAAATTTGAAACGACAAATACAATCTAAAATATTGTTGAGTTTTAAAATAAATTGAAGAATACAACTACAGTTTTAACTACATGTACAGTCTAAAACATTAAGAGAAAACAACTGCTGACAAAATGAAGGTCATTTTGTCTTTGATCCTATATGCGGGATTCTATTTGATGAAATAGGTATAACATAATACATGTATGCAAGGGTAAACTTGTAAATAGCACTGAAAGTAGTTAGTGGATAATTACATATTAGTTGTTAATTATAATTCAAGTAAAGAAAAAGTCAATATGATTTTGTGCGTGAGGGTAAACTTGTAAATAGCACTGAAAGTAGTTAGTGGATAATTACATATTAGTTGTTACTTGTACACGTAGAGTTAGTTAGGAGGTTAGATTATTATTATTACAGATGTGTATAAATAGGAACCTTTATCATTGTGATACTCTACATTTCATTCACAATTCAATGAAACAATTCTCTCTCTAGAAAGGTTCTCTCGTCTTCATCTCGTTTCTTCTCAGAGCAAACAGTTAGGGTTCTTCATTGTCAATTGCCCCTAAAATCAACGTGGTATCAGAGAAATTAATCGCAATTGCGAGTCAAATTTGTTGATCCTATCCAATTTTGCATCTGTTTCAAGCTCAAATTGTTGGAGAATTACAATTCCAAAGTTTGACAATGGCGAAATCAGATCTCGATCACAATCATCCGTTGTTTCTTCACCCATCAGACACTACCGGAGCTCCGATTATATCGATACAGTTGACTGGTTTAGAGAATTACTCCACCTGGAGTCGGGCGATGGAAATCCAGCTTCTCGGAAGGAATAAGCTAGGGTTAGTCGACGGGACTCTAAAGAAGGAGGATTTTGATAAGGAACTAGGTCATTAGTGGGATCGATGTAACACCATTATTCTAGGATGGATTATGAGCTCGGTGTCAAGAGAATTGGTGACAGGAATACTATATGCAAAAATACTAGAACAGTCTGGGAAGATTTAAGAGAATGGTTTGATAAAGTGAATACTTCACGAGTGTATCAATTGCATAGGCGATTGCAACAGTCACTCAAGGAACTGATAGTGTTTCAGTTTATTTCTCAAAACTTCGAAATCTCTGGGACGAATTTGACAGTATGATTCCGCCGCCATGTGATTGTTGAGTTTATGCAAAAACAGATGATTCTACAGTTTCTCATGGGGCTGAATGAGAACTATGAACAAGCAAGTAGCTAAATTTTGATGACCAGTCCCACACCAAATATCAACAAGACATATTCTATGCTAATTGAACGAGAAAGTCAGAGATCAGTAACATGGTCTTCTATGACTGGTGATGCAAATGAGTCTACTGCACTATTAGCTGGTAAGGGAGACAACTACTAGAGTTATCAAATGACTAAGAAAAATTGGAATATTCAATGCGAGTTCTGTAAGATGAAAGGACACACTAAAGATGGTTGTTACAAAATCATTAGATATCCCTCGGGTTTCAAAGGAAAAAAGAGAGGAAATGTGAATTCTGCATACAATGCTTGTGCTGAGAATGTACACCCAAATGTGGCTGCTGGAAATTCTGGGATACCTGATGTGTTTGACAAAAGTACTGGATTGGAGATGCTTGTGGCAAGGGCACCATAACTAACTTCTGAGCAATATTATCAAATCATGAAGTTGCTGAATCTCAACATCAACAGAGAACCAACACAAGAGAACATGGCTAATATGGCAGGTAATGCTTACTCATTTCTGGCTAGTATAGCAAAGCAATAATGGATAGTGGACACAGGGGCGACCAACCACATGGTGGCAGACTTAGGGATGTTGAGTGATATTAAAGCAGTTAATTCAACAAGTAGTAAGCGAGTCCATTTACCAAATGGGGAAGTAGCACATGTTTCACGCATTGGTAATTGTAAGATCACATATACATGAGAAGTAAAAAATGTCCTGTTTATTCCAGATTTTCAATATAATCTCTTGTCAGTTTCCAAGGTGACTAGGGATCTTAAATGCTTAGTGGCTTTCTACCCTGATTTTTACTTGTTCCAAGACCTCTCCAGTGGGCAGGTGAAGGGGATTGGTAAGGAGAATGATGACCTTTACCTGCTGGTCTCATAAGCCCCTACTAAGATTAGAACTGAAGGAAAGATGGTAGCAAAAGGACTCAATGCACAAGCAGTGAAGGATGTTCTCACCTGGCACAAAAGGCTAGCTCATGCCTCTGTAGTATCTATGAGAGAACTGCTAGGTTATAGTGTAGAAGATTGTAAATCCGTAATAAATAAGTGTAAAGGGTGTCCACTAGTAAGACATCAAAGGTTGTATTTTCCTTCAAGTAGTAGTAGATCAGCTAAGGTTTTTCAATTGTTACATCTAGATGTATGGGGTCCTTACAACACACCAACATTTGATGGCAATAAATTATTTTTGACTGTTGTGGGTGATTTCTCACGTGTGACTTGGATTTTTTTTGTTAAAATTCAAGAATGATGTCATAGTTGTTCTGAAGGATTTATTCAGAATGGTTCTTAGTCAGTTCAATGCAACAATACAAGTAGTGAGGTCTGATAATGGAGGTGAGTT